TTTTAAGTTCCTTTAGTTTTCACGTGATTTTGTTTTAATGCTCAGAACCTTGCAAAAAAGGTGGATCCATGGAACAGTTCAGACAGAGGTATTGTAAAAACAGCCAACATCATGTACCTTATTTTTCTGTTTCTGTAATAGTACCTCTTCATACAGGTAGTTGCCTACACACAGCGGATCCACCAAGTTCTTTGAAAATAGACCTGCTGTGCTGCATGTTTGAGCTCTGTGGACCTTCAGAGTCTTTCAGATATTTGCTATTCTCATACGGATCGAGTCAGTGATTTGAAGGACTTGTGGAGCAGTAGAGAAGCATCCTGACAAAAAATATATATGATGATTTAAACTAAGAATGCAGCCAGTATTGTGCTATGAGAGTGCTGTTAAAGCTTCCTGGTGCACAACAGTGTAATGCCTTAGTTTCCTGGTTTAGTTTTCATCATGAAACGTATGTGTGTCCCTCTCTCTAAAGGCTTGTCCACATTGCAAAATAATCCATAATACCTACTGCAGAAGTTCTGTTAGAGAACAGCTGTCCATGCTTACAGATATAGCTATGACAGTGTAAATTCACACCTACGGTTATTCTACAAGTGAGCAAGCCCTACAGTATTTTGTGTGTGTAGAGGAGTGTCAGGTTTGAGGAAGCTGGAGAGTGTGTGCAGTTCGAAACTCAGGGTACTGTCGAGTCTTATAAGAGCATTTAGAAAATATGTATATTTTGGATATTTAGCTAGAATGAGATAATAGGAATCAGAAGAGTGGAGTGGAGGTTTGAAGCCATTTGCTAAATCATGCTTAGTGCCTATTCTCTAATTTGAGGTAACATTTCTGTGGTATTCTTCTCTCTCTCCAGCTTGATCCTCTTCCAGAAAAGGTTTTCCAGCAGAGAGCAAATGCTAATGCAGTCCATTCCATGGAGAAAGTAATTGAGATACACAGTGAGTATATCCACGTTCACCCAGCTGATTCTCTGTTAATCTGCCCTATGGACACCAGCTTGACTTTTCCATCATCTTGGCAATCGCACGTTCGAAGTCAGGCCACTGCATTCACTCATCCAATTTGCAGATGGTCACTGCGCAGTGAACTGGATTTGTGCAGCCACAAGGTGGTCTTGCATGCAATAGTGAATTGAGCAATGCACAGAGATCAGTCTATTCAGAGAAATGGTATGGCTCATGAAATTGAACTATATAAGTGCCTCTGAGCTTACAGCTGCCTAGCTGAATGCAGGTTGGAGCACAAAGGGTTGTCTGTGTGGATCGGGGTGAAGCAAGCGGTGAGGCACTGCAGTCATATAGCAAGGTGTTCTGATCTCGGTGGAGGAATTAATATTAAATTCAGTGCAGGAATATGTTTGTGATCCCTATAAAGGGCAGGTTCTCCTGTACTTGGAGTGTGTGGGTATCTCTTCAAAAGCCATTCAAGTACCTGCAGTTAACAGAAGTCTAGTTAGTTATTGTTGCATTCACTAATTAAGAACAGATAGGAGTGAAAGTTAAACAGCGTATTACATAAAGCCGCTAATATTGCAGCTTTGTTTAGCTGTGAAGAGGAGGTTTACAATCTTGGTGGTTGAAGGTGTCCTGGGGATGTTCATGGGGAATGTAGTGAGGTCCCCTGAGTAATGTGGGGATCACACTGTGCTATGTCCTAACATCTGCCTGCTTCAAACAGGTTGTGGTCTAGAACTGCAGTAGAACTGAAGGAGGGGTAATCTCCATTTTTGAGGGAGAAAATGGCTTTTTTTTTTTCCTGAAAAGGCCAGTGGCTTTAGAAATTTAAATTCCATTTCCAGAAGCTGCTCTGCAGCGACAGCATTCAGCAGTGATGTGATACCTTAGCAGTACCTTGAGTCAGCCACAGTGATTTTTTTTCCTCGGGTAGAGCAAATTAGAAAAGGGCTTTGAGCGAGACACTCAGGTATGCTGCAGAACACAATAGAAATGAAGAGATTTGAAAACAAGATCCTTCTTCCTGTCTGCATGGCCCCACTGTGCAGGTTCTTTCTTTCGACCTTCGGTGTGGCTTCTTGGGTAAGCAAATTCTTACCCAAGGGTGGGTCTTGGCAAATTCTGTGTGGTCCTGGCTGGGAACCAAGGGAAGACCTCTTAACTCTGAAGCCTTCACTGTGCTCTTCTCAGGAGCCTGTAATTGTGCTGCAGGTGCTTGTGCCCTTTGCTTTCTTATCCAGCCACACTCCTTTGACTGAAAAAGGGTGTCGATCAATGGTAAATTGAAGACAAAGAAAATAAATGGCAACTTAGACTTCCTTAGCTGTAGATGACTTCCCATGGAAGCGTAGCAAGACTAGCTGGCCATAACTTAATGCAGATGTCCAGTCCAAACCTGGGCTACATCCTTCCTTCTCATATATTTTTCCTTTGGTCTAAAATTTCAGAAGATTTTGAGGTGAAAAGGGAATTGCCTTTATTTTTTGAACACCCAGTCAATTGCACCTTTTCTTCAAAGCAGACGTGTGCTGTACAGCTAGAAATCCTAACCTCCATTGCTCTTTGCATATTTATTCCATCAATGTTCCGGTTTCAGCCTCCTACCTTTCTTTCCTAACCAAGAGGGAAGAGCATCTTTGATTAAAAGACCGTGATTGGACATCCTTGATTTCCTTGCAGGATGCACAGGTGCATTTTTAACCATGCTCTCAATACCTTTTGGATTGAAATTTTGCTTCTTCATGCCTAAATTCGAATGCAACATCTCCCAGTCCTGGGGAGCTATTGGATCCCAGTGCTCCTGGTGTGATTCTCGCTGTAGAGATCTAATATTTCAGCCTCTCTCCTCCATTTTTAGTACTTCTGTAGGGACAAGAGTTTTACCCTTTATTGCCAAGAAACAGCTTGATTAGAGATTGCTCCACTGCACTGTTTCCCAGTGAAACATGTACTGCTAATTGCATGTTTGTTTACACAACCAAACAAGATAAACGCTTTCTTAAAGCCTAGTTCAGACAGCACCATTCCAACACCGTCTACTAATAAAGCAGCGTGGCATAAAGTGCCAAATTTTCTGTTACCAGCTGTGTTGCTGCTGGGGAGTTAGCAGGGCACTTTGGCAGTTCTCATGAGTCATTTTTGCTATCGTATAGAAAATAAATTGCCTTTTCTGCATAGGGACCAAAGCAGCCTCTCTCACAGCAGCCTCCTTCGCCAAGGATGGCCGTTAAGGGCCAGTGTCGTTATTTGTCAAACATCTTCTCAAACCAAGCAGTTGCCTGCCAGCGTTCTCTTTTAACTCTCATTACTATGCCTTGAGGATATTAAACCTCTCACCGAAGAGCTGAGAGCTGCTGCTGCCTGTGCAGAGCATCTTTGGAAAAGTATTGAAAGGAGCTGCCCTGCTGTTTCTCCAAGCCCACGCTCGAGAGAAGGCCCCAGCTCTGGGTAGCTTTCTATCCTCGCCTCACAAGCCAAGGCTCCCTTAGCACACATTCCCATGAACTTGCTTCCGTCTACAGTTTTTCTCCACAGCCCTGAGACCTTGAGAAAATCATTAAAGTAACAGTGAGTGTGGGTCAAGGTTGCATTTTGCACAGGGCTTGGAAGAGGTCTGATGAGCCTTCCTCAGTCAGTTCTCAGCCTTCTGCTGGACCTGGGAAAGCAGGAACCTGGTGTTTGACCTGTTACGGTGCAGATGCCCTAACTGCCTCTTCTCTCATCTCTGCTGCAGGCAAGTATTGGCATTCACTCCAGCGTTATGCCTCCACGGTGGGGTACTCTGTGGTTGAGGCTCAAAAGTGTGAGAACGAAGAAGCGGAGACTGTAACAGCCATGGCATCTTTGTCGGTAGGCGTGAAGCCAGCTGAGAAGAGGTGAGTTGCTTTCCTTCCTTTTTATCATCACAGCCCAGAAAGTAGGTAGTAGTAACAGGGAACAGTCTGCTCGCCCAGGAGGAGCCGTAATGAGCAGTCTTCAGGGTTAATCTTCTTTTAACAATTGCAAGTGCATTCCCTGTATCTTCTGCCCTTTATGGGTTCTCCAGAGACCTTGTGGACTGAAAGAGAATATACAGCAGTGCAACGCACCTCATGTGTACCCTTGGTGCAGCGCACCAAGGATCACAAGAGGAAACTGCTTTCACTGGAAAAAAATTTTTCAACGTTGTACGAGTGAAAATGCAGTTGCTGAAAACCCTTCTTGGAGGCAAGTTTTATTTCCAGGTGAACTGGCTGAGCAAAACTGCCCTAGGTGGGAAGGTGATGGGAACAGAAGGTGTAAGACTTGTGTGCACAGAGCATCACAAATTGTCTGACTCTGTCGTGCTCAGCCTTCTTTTCTCTCTCCCCCACCCTGTCTTGCCTGTCTGTTGAAATCGCTTCCAGACCTGATGATGAACCCATGGAAGAGGAACCTCCCCTGTAGCATTCACCTATGAGCTGGAGTTCTCCTGTTTGTTCGTCTTTGTCTTGAAGCTCTGCCAAGAAGCTTTCTCTTGTTACTCCTGCGTCCTGTCGTGGTTTTTTCCAGAATACAGAAGGACAACCAGGTGTAAAACAAAGCAACCGAAAAATCTCTCCATATCTCTATGCGTCTACAGTATGTATTTGCTGAAAAAGAAAAATGCTGGTGAAGAGCAGTAAAGGACTGAGATACTGGGCACTCTTCCTCTGATCCTCACTTGGAGCTGAAAGGGGAATGACGCCCATGAAGTCTTTGGCAGAGTTGCCAAAAAGTAGAAATCAAAGATTCAACAACACATATGAAAATGAAACAAACAAACCTTAATTTAAAACTGGTGCTTACAATTTGATTACCCACAATTCAGCAATCTCCGCTTGAACCACTCGACCCATCTTGTAGTTTCATTTCTTGGATTTTTTAAATGGCTCTTGCCTGCCTGTGAGTCAAAGACATTCTTGTCAAAACCAGAACAATGTGAGATGGTGTATTTTTCATGGGGAAGGATAGGGAAA